CCCCCCCTATGAGCCTAAGCTAAATTGAACTCTATATGGAAATCTTCCCCATAGACTAGCCAAGACCAAGCTCTTCTGTAAAATGAATATGTGTTGGGGTAGTCTCCTCAGCATTATCATTTAAACAGGGTATTTCTGTTTTACTTCACCTTGTCTAATCATATGCTTTTTTCCACAGTTTATAAAAGAAAGAAAAGATTCAAGGAGTGCAGTGTCAGGTCACAAAATAAAACTGAAGGTCAAAAAGACCAGTAAAGACAAACAGGTATTATTTTAAAACTTGAAATAGTCTAATCAAAGTCAACATGTGTCAACTGTCAAGGCAAAACAAATGTATATATTCCATGAAATAAACTTCAGATAAAATGTTGGGGCAGCAGGCCAGGACATTTTACCATGGGGAGAACTTCATATACAGAAAAGTCGGTGTACAAGGGCTTTATCTGACATTAATATAACCAGAGGTACATTACTTGGGGTTTGCAACGCACATAGTACTGTATGGTGACATCATGTCAAGATCCCATTCAAGTCTCATCTCGTAGATAGCAAGACTGGTGCTACGACCTTCCGACATAGGCGGTTTGTAATAAAACAAGAAAACATGTATTAGGGATTGGTCAGTTACTTCAGCCTGGGGGGGGGGGGTGTGTGGCAGATTCCATTTTGCCAGCTGTAAATTTCAGTTGACCCACCCCCCTATCAAATAAAAAAAAGTGGGTGCCCCCCCCCCCCAAAAAAAAACACAAAGAAACATTAATAGTTTTGGCTCTCACATGATTACAAAATGTATTATATGTGCATTGAAAATAATTACATAATTTTCAGCGTTCGCATTTAATAGACCTTAGGAGGGGAGGGGAAGCATAAAGCCAAAAAACAACTACAGAAAAGGCTGCAGGAAAGAGGAAAATCTATGCTGTTAAAGATAGTAAATAAAAACAAAGCTGTGGAGTACTCACTCAATAAATACCCTTATAAGATAGGAAAAGTGGATTTGAATCTAGGCGGTTTGAACTCTTTGAAAACTAAGTTGGATTTAAAATATCTTTCATATCTTATAGACCAAGAAAGTTTTACACCCGAAGCACAATCTGTGCTTTTGAAAACAAAGGAAACTTTGATTTTTGCTTAAATTTGTGTTGGATTTTGGTATTTTACAGAGCAAAATATGCATATTTTAAAAGTTAAAAAAAAAAAAAAAAAAACTATTTATTTATTTTTTCATCATTTATTTTAATTTATATATCAGCATTTTCACAAATTTAACTTTTTTGATTTGCTGAACAAAAACTGTCACTGCTCTTGGTACTAATTGCTGTGTTGTCTTTCCGTCTTCTGTTATATTTGGATAAATCCAGTAAATATCTTAAACAATGGTGACTTCAGACTTTAAATAACCACATTGCATAATCTGTTAGTTATTTGGCAACTTTAAAGTGCCTGTGAAATGGCTGCTATTTTCATGCCTAAAATTATCCATTGATACATAAATATTATTAATTTTTATGTTTCTAAGCATAAATAATTTTTTTAAGTGAAAAAATGTGTTTTTAACTCAGTCTACGGAAACTTTATTTTTGTGTATTTTAAAACGAGGCTTCTCATTTGCATACAGAAATTCCCCTTGTGACGTCAGAAGGGGAAGTCGCTGGGCAGCTTGCATTGCCGATACGTGTAAATAAGGCAAATTTCTTGTGCTGTTTTCTCGTCTTTGACTAAATTGCCACTTATGTACTTGTTCGTCGAGGAAGAATGGACCATAATGAACACATTGTATCAAGTTTGTTGCATGGGGTTGAGTCAGATGCGAAATATGTCCGGTCTGGTGTCGCTAGTCACCGTGGTCGCCACCGTCACCGGAGCACGTTTGT